GTTCCACTGGGGTTTAGCAGGTGTGTTTATAAAGAGACAAAAATTGTTTGGGGACTATCCCCCACGTTCTAGTTGAGATGGTATAACCCAAGAGGCAAAATGACGCTTGCTACTGTTGTTGCGAGTTGGCATTCGTTCTACTAAACCATTAGTCAAACGCCATCATGTCTTCTGTCGTTATTACACAAACAAAAATCTCTTTACTGTTACTAGTGTTAGTGCCTCAATATGGCTACGCTCGTGAAAGCAATACAACGAACTCAAACGCGTCTTCGTTCAATGTTGTCAACTCATATCCGGATTATGCATATTTTCCTCAATTCTCCGGAGAAATTTTCATAAAAATTTGAAAAACCCGGAATTCCGGGAAAATCCGGAGGACTTTCATCTCTGATCATGACAGGTGGAATCTAATAAAGCTGGAGAAATTTTCAAAAAGATAATCGGTGGAAAAAGGATTGACCCGAATTTCAAGTTTCATGGCAAAGGCTGTAAATACTTTTGTTCACATAATTTTTATGTTGTTATTTTCAATAGCTGGAAAAAAACACTTTTCACATAATGAGTCATTGGTTTTAAAAAATACATGAAATCCATTTTGGAATAAGGCTAAAACAAAACAGAATAGGGAAAATGCAAAGCACTGTCAATAATTTCCAGATGCATTGTATGAGGAATGTCAGACAAGTTCCAGGACTGGTGTTGAAATCAAATTAATTAATGTGAACAAAAACAATCGTCATCTATAATGCCAAAGCAGAGCTATGCTGACCATAATTATTCAAGGCCTTACCAAACGAGGTAGCTTCTTGTTTCAGATGTTCAGACTCGACAGTTCCCAGTTGATTGTCAGCTACAACCCAAATTTCCAGGTCCAAATGGAACAGGAATACTTCCATTGTCACCGTAGCAGTATTTTTTTGTGTTGACACATTGTAGGCTTGATTATTCCTGAAAAGGCATGCACAACGCACATAAACGCAGGTTGCAGTCTTAAAATGTCACAACCTTAAACTCATTAAACTCTGCTGCCAATGTTTTAAGTGTTTTTGACTGGTTTAATGTTTTTAACAATACAGGTATTCTAACTTACAATGCAAACTCTCAAACGGAATTACAGAAATGCTGAGATACAGTGTAAAAATATTGTTCACCCGCTCAGTCTGGATTTTTGGGCGGGGCTTAAGCAGAGGTAAATTGAGGCAACCAAGGAACAGCATGAGTCACCCTCCCCACTATGTAAGTACTCATTTCAGATGTTGAGATTCTGCGCAGTTGTCACTTCCTTACTGATAATGCACTGCAGACATTACACTAATAACTAATACCTTTATAATGGTCCTTTATTATTTAGGAAAAAAATGTTTTTTAGAAGCTACAGTAAAACATCTTAACCAGGGATGTCAAAACTTGACAAAACTTTCTTCTGACAAGGGTAAATGATGGAACATAATATCAGTGAACTGATACAAAGCACCCGTGCAAACTGGGAACAAGAGGTCTCCAACAACGATCGGAGATGACAAAGGCCGACATTTTGGCTTCATATTTATATAAATAGTCGACAACATGTACTGGAGGTATGCAACTGCGATGTGCAGTTAGCGAGCTAGCTTTGCCTACACGCAGAAAGTACATCTTTTCTTTGGCTCCACTGGCATGGTCGATTTACAGCGTTTCGTTGTTGGTCGCGAGTGGACATGAGGAGAGGTGGTGAGGGAGTGCTGGCCCACAAAAAAAAAAAAAAAAAGTCAACATGAGAGCCAGCATGTGGACAGGGATTTCATGCTGGTGTGGCCGTTTTAGAGTGCCTCATTGAAGTTGCAAAGAAACGGCCCGTGACAACAATGTGCGACGAATTTCAGGCATTAGAAGCATTAAGTGCGTATTTCACGACTCAAACATAAGTGACATGTAGGCATAAGAAAACGTGTGATATTTTAATGAAGTGCGTTTTCAGCGCATTAAGCAAATGCATACACAGTGTCTGAAAGAGGAGAGAATGGCTGGATTGTTTATGATTTTGAAGCCATAATTGATATACGTGACTTATTTTCTTAATCATGCAAATTTGGTAAGGTGGTTGACAACACTCCTCTCTCTGGTGTGTCAAATTTAAAAGACATTTCAGACAGACACACTTTACCGGGACTGAGGATAGCAGATTAATTCTACTTACTGGATGGCTTCAACATGTAACGTATATGTTGTCGGCATTTCCTTGATGTGGTGTTCGGGTGGTTCCCATGAGCACTTGAAGTCTTTTGACATATAATGTACCCCCTGAACTACTATACAGGTCAGATTCTTGGGCTTCTCTGGAGGATCTAAAATTGGCATTGGGAAGAAGAAAAAAAAAAAAAGAAACAAGTAAAAGGTAAAAGGCTATATTTCAGTTTGAGGAATTCAGACATTTTGTAAATGTGAAACAACATTGTGCTTCTGATATACAACAGGTGCATAGCATCGGACATTTGTAATAATCCTTGAAAGTATGAGGAGTTGTAATTCATAATCAATGTTGAGGTAAGACAAAGTACTTTAAGTTGGCCCGAGAACAGATTGGCTCAAGTGCTTCAAAGCCTGCAGGTCTGTGATTGATAGCACGCTTGAAAGGGTCACGTTAGTTATTTGCCTGGTACTACACTAGTTACCGTATTTTCCGCACTAAAAGGCGCACTGGATTATGAGGCGCACCTTCAATGAATGGCCTGTTTTGTCATTTTTTTCATATATTGGACGCACTGGATTATAAAACGCAATCTACAATGCATCCACTTGATAGAGCTACGCTCCTTCCGTTCGACTCGGGGTTCATGACCACCTCCAAAAAAATGTAAATTAACGATTCCTTCAATGAAACTACGAAAATTGAAAATAATGCATCAAAACAGAAAATCAAGCAAGGAAATCACAAAATAAATTATAGGGGCCCCCCTACAGAATTTATTTTGGCATTTCCTTGAGCGTAGCTCCAACAGAACAATCAGATGTCAGTAAAATGTAGGAGACTGGACTGTCCCAGAAGTGTTTGTTAATTATTCCTTTGTTGTTTACTGTATTCACAAAGGAGGAAATCATAAAATACATTTTGTAGGGGGGCTATGGAATTTATTTTGTGATTTCTTCGCTTGATTTTCTGTTTTGATGCATTATTTTCAATTTTCGTAGTTTCATAGAAGGAATCGTTAATTTACGTTTTTTGGAGGTGGTCATGAACCTTTATCAAGTCGAACGGAAGAAGAGCAGGTACGGATACGGACAAAGGCGTACCTGTATTTGTTTTGACGGTCAAAACCATTACCGTATTTTCCGCACTTTAGGGCGCACCAAAAAGTCTTCCATTTTCTTAAAAGCTCACCAAGCGCCTTAAAATCCGGTGCGTCTTGTGCATGGTCATTACGGTAATATGTCGACCCCAAGATGGCTCCTTGCTGGAGACATGCTTACAATGTTATAACTTGCTGTTGGTTCAGTGAACTGTGTCGCTGCTTTATTATAAGTTTTTGTTGTGGCTCCGAAAAAAGGAGAGCTGTGATGTTGTTTTTTTAAAACAGTCTCAACAAATGCAGTTACGTCTTTGTCCATCTCCGTGCCTTCTCTTCTTCCGTTCCACTCGAGAGGCGTTCATGAAACTACGAAGAAAATCAAGCGAGGAAATCACAAAATAAATTCTGTAGGGGCGATATAGAATTTATTTTGTGATTTCCTCGCTTGATTTTCTGCTTTGAGGCATTATTTTTCATTTTCATAGTTTCATTTAAGTTCAGTAATAGTTAATTTACGTTTTTCAGAGGCGGTCGTGAACGCCTCTCGAGTTGAATGGAAGAAGTGTAGCACCATCTAGTGGAGGCATTGTAGATTGTGCCTTATAATGCGATGCGTCCAATGTATGAAAAAAAATTACAAAATAGCCATTCATTGAAGGTGCGCCTCATAATCCGGTGCGCCTTTTAGTGTGTTAAAAAAACAAACCACAGCTCTCCTATTTTCGGAGCCGCAACAAAAACTTATTTAATAAAGCAGCGACACAGTTCACTGAACCAACAGCAAGTTATAATACTGTAAGCATGTCTCCAGCAAGGAGCCATCTTTGGGTTGACGTATTACTGTAATGACCATACACAAGGCGCACCGGATTTTAAGGCGCGCTGTGAGCTTTTAAGCAAAGGTAAGACTTTTCGGTGCACCTCATAGTGTGGAAAATACGGTACATCAACATTCAAGTTTTTCTTTTACTCTGAACATTTTTGCTGACATTGTTCCCTGTCCGTTGAGATCATTGATATCAATTTTAGACCAGTTTTATTAGGTTCCCAAGTGAAAAAGAAAAAGGAAAGAGTGATAAGGAATGTATTTACTTTAGGCCAGTGGTTCTTAACCTGGGTTCGATCGAACCACCGCACAAAGATACACTTACATTACGGAATGTCCTTCCATACTTATTGTAATGTCCTTGTTTATGATAATACGAGTGCAGCTTGTACTACCGGAGATAAATTCCTTGTGTGTTCTACATACTTGGCCAATAAAGATGATTTTGATTCTGATCAACCTGGGTTCGATCGAACCCTAGGGGTTCGGTGAATCGGTTTCGGGGGTTCGACAGAGCCTCTGCCATGGAGGTTAAGACATACGCGAATCAACATGTCAATGAGTAATGACACGCCCGCTTGGCCAACACTGGCTGCAGATGATCATATTAGATTACTTGTCCAATCAGTCCTACGGCAAATTTAGTTCGCTCAGTTGTCATTGTGTGACTGTCGTGATTCTATGTCATACAATTAAAAAAAAGAGAAAAAAGAACTATACTTATGCCATGTCATTTTATTTACTTTTTTCTGTTTTTAATAAATGTGTTTTTTTATGTCTTGAATTTGTAAAAAAATCGTATTTTTATTTTTCACTAATGAAGGGTTCGGTGAACATGCATCTGAACTAGTTGGGTACGGTACCGCTAACAAGGTTAAGAACCACTGGGAGAGAGCGAGACATTATTACGCCTCTGCATCGAGAATAATTGTCAGCAAGCAGCACTAGTATTGTAACCATGTGAGATAGGTACAGGTAGAATTTTTGAATTTTATGGCACCACTATATAATAGACTGCAGGTGAATGTCATGAGTTAAGAAAAATTAACAGATAACTTACAGACTTTTGTTAGGTGGATCCCGTGAATAAATTTGCCCTTGTTGAAGAAAACATAGGAGGACTTTTCCTTGCAGTGGCAAAATAACCACTCTGACTCTTCATTGTCGACAGGGATAGTGACACTGAGTGCTGACTCATTGATCTTGGTGTACTGATTGCTTGGGATAACGATCTGTGAAAGATTCCAGTAGAGGTCATCTGCTGTGACTTCGGTTGTTCCAATGATCACACATGTAGCTGTGAAGTTAGTCCCAATCTGGAGCACTGGAGACTGTGGGGTTATAACCAAATGGCTTCCAGTTTCTGAAATACAATTACATTTACAATTACAAATGATAACAGTGATTTTGAGCCATTCATTTTGACAGTCAGCAGAAAACTCCCAACAACAGTCCTATCTGTCCCCACATTTGTCCGGCCTCATACACACATAGCCGGGTAGTCTGTAAACGGGGGATAGTTGTCTGCTGTTTGGCCTGTAATCCACACGTTCCACAGATTTTTCAAATCAAAAACTAAGGTTTCTGAAAACTCCGGCCCAAGTGGGGAGCTGCAGATATCTCTGGATTCGCGTTTGGCTGTGGACAGTTGTAAACGGATATTTAAGTTGCATTTTAGGACAGTCAGTCCTTCATCATCAGTCCATCACTCTGTCATGCAGCTACAGCACTGACGGCACTTGTGTCCCTTCAGCACAGATTGTTTCCATGCTTCCTCTCTTTTTTTTTCTTCCGCCTTCCTATCTCAGCTGACAGCTTACAAACGATATAACAAAATATTTAAGTACATAGTGCACGCTCTGAGGATCAATGAATGGCTCTATTGAGGATGCACAATCAAAATGTGTACACGCCGTCCTTTTTGAAAACCAAATTGCAAGTTTGATGCCTGTGAAAGTGGCTAAGGACATATTCAGACTTGGATATTTTCTCTTTTCATATTAAGCCACTCAATAGTGTGCAGTCATTTCGTTACCTCTGCGTCCCACGTCCTAGACGCATAATTTTCCCGCGGCACGCACAGTTCCAAATAATGTGTGTTTTGGGGGCGCAAGGAAATTTCTCAGTCAAAACAAAACAAAAAAAAAAAAACTACGGTACTTCTTTTTTCCAGCAATGCAGTGTCGCAGTTCGACAATCGCCACCATTGTTGTTTTGATCTTGCGTTAAGTAATCTCGCGTGACGGCATTTCCGTTCTCGCGAGACGAGATTGGCGAGATCGGCCTTCAACCTCACGGGAAGCAGACGATTGCCAAGTTGTGTAAAGTTAAAACAAGTGTTGCGAAAGTTTATTGCGGCGATATCACAGAGGAAGCAGCTAAAGTTGGATAGTTTTTTTGCGATAATAAGTTGACTTTGAGAAAGTCTTGCATCATTGGAAGCAGAGTAAAGCGAGGAGAATTTATGAACTCAAAGACTGAACCATGGGATGAAAGAAGAACCGATTTCTCAGCAAATCTTGTATACCTGAATTAATTTTTGCAGCATTTGTTTATAAGAAATAAACCTATTATCAATGTATATTGTTGTTGTTTGTGTTATTATCATATGCAATTGAATAAGTAGACCATTTCAGAATTCAAAATTTGGGACTCTCTAAATGCATAATGGGACTCATACTTTTCTGATCAGCGAGTCCCTGGGACTCGCTGATCAGAAAAGTGTAAAATTATCACTGAGTGTGATGCAGGAAACTGACTTGAATAAGTGGATACATTTGTACTGGCTCGATCTTGGAAATGTGTTTATCTATGTGGGCCAACACATGTATAGAATGTCCCATTTCTATTACAGATTCCCGCCCTGACACTTCCGCTGTTTATCTTTGTATTTGTGTGTCTTGGATGACTGCACCATGCTTTGCGCATCCCCCGTCTGACACAGAGTTGCTTACTACAGTACCGATATTTAGAAATATGGTATTGTGTCATTTTTTACGAGAAAAATACATGGTACAGTACAGTATTGGTACGAGTTCAAGGTGCAAGACAACTGCAAAATAAAATCAAAATAAATGGTTTAGTGATATAATACCTGCAAAGGGGATTATAATGCAGAAGAATAGCCCTGCCTGCATTTACTTTTAAAAATCGAGCTGGATGTAGAGGTATGTGAATGGGCTCTAGGTTGTTTGCAAATTTCTATTGGGTTTTACTGCTGTAAAACAAGAGACCAGTCAGATCACTCTTTGGCATCGCTTCTTTTCTCTTTCTCCAGTGAGACAAGTTGAGAACGAGCATTTGAAGAGTTTATTTGCAAGTTAATGCAGTACCTTTTTGTGGATATTAAATGCCATATTTACACACAAACTATTTCTATTTTTAGATGTATTTGGTGAACGTGATGGCCAATGTGCGAGCTACTCTTGCTCATTAACCAACAAGATATACACCACAGGAGTAAACTACCGTCATTTACCGTAGACTAGAGCAGGCTAACAGACGTTCCTACGTGGTGGCCATGTTGGCAGGGATGACTTTCCCATCAATGTCAATGCATAGACATGCAGTATGGAACAGCCATGTTAGCAGGGGTGACAGTCCAATCAAAAGTAATGGAAAGCATGGACATTAGCTTAGCATTGCTATAGGCACGCCCCTCACAAGGAGGGTGTCTTATCTACCAAGGCATATCTATCACTGTTGTGTATTGCCGTTACTTCTCGTCATATAGTACATGTACACTTCTTTCAAACATGCTATTGTTAGTACAATATAGAGGTTTTGGGGCGGGGGGGGGGGGGGTGGGTTGTTATGCCCTTGCTAATGGCATCCAATTATCACTCCACCAAGCACCAGTAAGTTTAAATATGTTCAAAAAATTTAAAGCTTCTTTATTATTTTCACAATAATTTTTGACTGTGCTTTGAGTAATTTGAATAAATAGTTACTGTACATTAGGGTGGTCCACATTTTCATGGCAAAAAAAAAAGTTTGTCGGATTCGTCGGGCCGGGTCGGAATTCTTGTCGATACTATGGTACAAGGTTCTGGGCAAAATTTCATTCCGATCTGATGATATTTTCCCGTCCCGCAAAGCGGCCAAAGTTTCCACCATAACAACTGGTCTCAATAGGGTGAACATGTGTATTTTAACCGTGTATTTTGCCATGCGTGACACTGGCTGGGCTGAATGTTCCCCAAACGATCACCTCCTGACTAACTAACCATTCCATCGCTGCTCTCAGCAGCCGGAGACAAACTCAAACGCACGCCTAACACACAACGGTCACCTACTGGCGAGCTAATATCTTTCAATTGAAGTCGAGAATCGCCGGAATTCTTACTGGACGCTG